GTGGGTGGTGGGCTCCGGAGGGGTGGAAAATACCAGGCCTTCTCCATCTTTATCTTTAGGCTGAAAAGCATCCGCGTCTCTATTGACAGCGCTCACTTTTGTGCCGGGGTGTTTTCATAGCCGAGGATGACAAACAGGCTGTTTGTGCAGTATTGGAGGTTTGTGCAGAGAGGCTCCTGTGAAGGTGCTGCTTCAGTCTGGACCCTGCATATCAATGGGTGCTGGATGGCTGTGGAGGGTAGGGTAATGGATGTGGAGGGTAGATCTTGAAATGAATATGTAGATTCCTGTTTGTGGACTGTGTGAGAACAGCGTGTTCTCCATGTTGTCTGGCTGCTTTTCCAAAAACATACTGCACTACTGCATGACCACGTTTGAACGTCTCTCTCTACCACTTGTTTATTGTTGTCCTTTGACCTTTTTGGATTGACATTTCTGATAAATTCCTGTTGTTCAAAAAGACAAAATCATTGGTAATCGTACCTCACGGTGTCTCTGAACCTTGTAGCCCACAAGTAAAAAAATGACAAGAGTGATTGTATCACAAATACAATAATAATAATGAAGCAGTGCTGTCCTTGAATAAAAATATCATTTAATCAGAGCATTTGATTAAAGTTGCTGTGGTAAGTTAATAATCTAATGTTGATGGTAATAATTGATTTTCAATTAGACAGATGCAGGTTTATAATTAAAAAGCTCATTTATATTCAGGTCAAAGCATCTGTAAGTTTAGTATTTGTGAAGTAGTGTTGATGCGATTTTGTAAAGCCATCAAAGATGTGGAAAACTGTCCATATTATATTATATTATATTATATTATATTATATTATATTATATTATATTATATTATATTCAAATAATAACCGTAATATTTTTTGGAACACCGCTGCATTGTTGCTTTTTTGTTTTTCTGCTCATAAACCCAGCTTTAATTTCCTGCTATGTTCTTGCTGTAAGGCAAAGTCTCTAACCGCCTTTCCCCTGTGTTCCTTTGGCATCAACCAATGTTGCAATTCAAATGTAATCCTTTTAAAGTCTGCAGATTGGAAGAGGCCCACAGGGGTGATTTTATTTTACATCAGTGCTTTATAAGACTATAAACACACAGTGCACGGCTGTGGAGTCCCACACTGTACCAACAGAATCAGTCACAGCACGTCTTTGACTTGGATCTATTCTTATCTTTATTAAAAACACTCATCAGATGCACATTCTCACGGCTGCAGACCTTGAAGACCTGAAGCTCCTGAGGAGCAGAACATTAGCTTATGAAGTTGTGTGCAGTGACACTGTGATAACACCAGGGGTGTGTATGTGTCCACTCCCCTGGGACTGGCCCCTCTCTGTGAGCACAGATTGGAGGTGAGACCTTGAAGAAAAATTATTACTTTTATGTTTGCTTTATGACTCATTTTTCACATTAGACGCAGAAAATCTATTCAGAGGTCACAGGATTCCTGCTCCTCTCGCTGGAGCGGGACTAATTTCTGCAGCCCTTCAGTATCGATAGAGCGCCTGGCGGAGTAAAAGTATGCAGGATATGTACTTCAGCTGCAGAGTCTGTATTTTCCAACAGCCAGTCTATTGGGACTTATTCAGCCCGTATCTGCAGGGAAATTGGAAATGCCAACTCCATTCATGCACATGGAGAGTGTGCAGCGTCCCTGTTGCATCCGCGTGCCCTTATCTGTAAGCCGCGCAGCCGATACGACTCTTGATAAGAGGCAACGTTGCCAGAACATGTCATAAAAGCCATGCTTTAATGGTGCGGTTATTGTCTTTCTGTCTACAATTATGGTGATTACTCATTTCCTCTTACCTCCCCCCGTGGCCTTCACATGCACTTAATAGACTGCATTTTACTAATGGAAAATTAAGTAGCCATCGTGGCAGTGGGGGTTTATAAATATGTAAAATATACTTTTAATTATTTCAAGTGAATCTGGCAGCTAATCAATAAAGAGGAGACGTGACAAACATACGTTTGACACAGGCTATTGTAAAGCCACTGGTAAAAGATAAGCATGGCCTGTCAGCGCAGTCCGGCCCTAATGAATATTTCGAGGCTGTCATATAAGGAGACAAATGGATTAATTGTGCCCCGCTAATATAATAGCTTCTTCATGAGGAGTGCATGAATAAGGCAGAGCAGAGGAGCGCGAGAGAGCGAGAGAGAGAGAGAGAGAGCACTGCCAGGTTCCAAACCCTGACGTCAAATAAATATTTATTAGTGTTGAGGGTTAAGTAGATTTTTGCTATTACATAGATGTCCACTTAAGCACAGTTGTTTCTCATGTATTTGAAAATTGGTTTGCACAGATTTGTTCGATGTCATATTAATTTTGTTTCTGGCATAAAGATCATACAGTTGGCAAAGAGTGTCCAAGGTCTGGCTCATGGGCCAGCTCTGGTACTGGGACATTTGGAAACTTGGTTTAAACTTAGTTCGTAAAATATTTATGTTTCACTGAAACCTTAAATAATAATAATCTTGCTGTATTTTATCGTTTTTTTGTAAACAAATTTACGTTTTGCTCCCAACCGTTTGCCTTTATTTTTAAGCTATTCTTTTGGTCCTTTGTAGTTACTTTTGCTTCATAGTAAGCTAACTTGTAGCCTTTTTAGCTCCATATTTATTTTTTAATTCCATTTTTCTTATCCTTTCTTATTCTTTGAGTTACATTACAGTTAGTTATTAGCAAGTAATTCATTTTTTACTTTGTTCAATTCTACTTCATTCCTCAGTTAACATTGAAATGTTATTTGTTAATTTGTGCATTTTCTTTTTTTCTTTATTATTTACTCACATTTCTTCAATATTTGGCTAATATTTAGCTTTTTTTGCCTGTTGATTATGTAACATTTTACCGCTTGCTTAATATCTTGTTATGAATTTTATTAACCCCAGCAACTTCTGTGCCCTTTTTTAGATTTGCTATCTTTTAGCAACAGTCGGGTGGCTAATAAAAAGAATTTGTAACATAAGTGTTAGACTTTTTCCTGATAAAATGGGATCGGCGCAGACTGTATAAAAGACTGTAGTAATGTGTGGCAATATTGACATATGTATGAGTGTTTATGTTATAATTTGTGTGTGTAAAATTCCTACTTAACTTAATTAGATATACGATAATTGCCTGGTTCAGTAATGACGATAATTTCCCCCATTTTCTTCTGCTGGATTTTGGCACTTCAGGGAGAAAAAAATTACAGTGCTGCAATTTAATTTCTAAGAGAGTGAAATACGTTTTTCCCATGTCAGATTTCAGCCAGTCGTTTTTATGTCACTAGCCTCTGAGATATTCACCCGAGCAGCAGCAGTTAGCTCCGTGGCACTATTTTGACAGATAGCAGCGTTTTTCTTGCCTCGCTCTGTTTTCCTATTAGTCTCTGTCTGCAATCTGCTGTTGGCAATTTGAGGTGAAGGAGAACATAAAGACAAGTGACCACAGATGAGCACAGGAAGCCTTCCTGGAAGCCGCTCTGTCGCAGCAGAGGATCTGTGACCTTGAGTCCTGCTTTAGCTCGACGCCCCTCTCTTATGCAGACCACCCCCTNCCTCTTTCCGAGCGACAGAAGGAATGACAGAGGGAGGGAAGCGCGGCAGAGGTTTGGGTCACCAGCCGCCGTTCTCATCAATTAAATGTGCGACAGTGTTTTCCGTCAGGTGAACTTGTATGTCAAGGAGATGGGCAGGACCTCATGTTTGTGCTTTTGACAAATCAGCAAATGTTTAATCTCAAGATGCGCCGGCACTCATAAATAATGCAGAGGCCGGGCTGAGCCCAAAGTCTCTCTCTCAGAAAGAGAGGCGTCTGCTGCTGGGCTCAATAACACAAGGAAACACTAAATCCTCCTCCACGGATGTCCTTTTTTCACAGGTGTCTCCTTCGTTCGATCACCGTGATTGGCTGCCATTCGTAGCTTTGAGAAAACGTTTATGACTTAACCCTTTGTTTCTCAGTCCGCTTCTTTTAACTTTCCTTTTTTACTCATTGTCTGTTTGATTACTCTTTTTGAATTGATCTGCCAATCTCTGGGGGCAAAAAGTCATCCCTAATTATCCAAAGCCAGAGACGTGCTCTCTCAAAAACACTGGGGATTGAGCTTGAGCTTTGCCTCCATTTGCCCTAAATGTAAAGAGGGCAACAGAAAGCAGTGTAGTGGACTGTGAACCGCATCAAATCCCCGTCTGCTCGACTCTCACTTCTTCCCACAGACTTTGATTGGCTTGGCCAGCGACTGGGAAAGTTTCCTGATTGTTCACAGGGAAAATTACGATTTTAAGCCTATTGAAGTTGATCTTTGCTCATTGAAAGGTCCATCTGAATGTGTCCTTTGAAAGCACAAATTGTTGACTTGCCACATTAGAAGAGTCTTAGCCCGAGAGTGGAGTGTAGCCAGTGTACTGTACTGGGATAACGCTGCACCTGTTGTACGGTGGATGGTCCGCTGAGTTTGATGAGTGGAGCTTTGGAGTGGGTTAAACTGTAGCTCAGTATATTAATATCCATCAGTATATCATCAGTGTAACCAGATACGTTTTCCTGAAACGCAACGGAAACAAAATCATTACTGACTTTTATTTGTCAGATTTGAGGATGATAAAAATGCATACAGCCCAGTCATAAAGTACAGTAAACATTAGGCAGTATACTCTGCCTTTAGGCCCAGAGATTACTATTATTAATTCACAATATATTTACAGATAATTTGTCAGATAATTCAGTTATATTTATCAGAGGTACACTTTGATACTCAACACTGTTGTGAATTGTAACACAATTTTTGATTAACAAGTAGAGTTAGGCATTACAAGGAATATATAAAAATATGTTTATTTATATTTTGGAAATGTGTCTGAGATAAAGTAGTTACGGAGAAGCTTTTTAAATATCCAGATTGAATACAAACACTTATTATTACCAGTCTATTAAACTGTTGGGGCATGGACCAGAAGTGGCCACTTCTCACATTTTCATTTTTTTTAATTTCAGGCTCTTGGAAGTTTCTACTTTATCCACGAGTCTTTGAAAAACATCCAGCAGTTTGATTTCAAAGGTGAGTCTCCCTCTTTTTTTCTATTTGACACACATCTTTATATACGTCATCTCCACTGTCTTGGAATGGAATCTTCTCAAGGTGCCCCTTCATCCAACTCCTGCGTGAAACACACAACCATTTGAAGGCTATTCCAGCTTCCATCAAAACCAGCCAGCCAAGATTGGCTTTGAGGATAATGTAGAAGGAGTGGGGCAGGATGGTAATGCTTATTAATATTAGGATTTAATTCATACAATTTCGGGCCTGCAGTAATGGTGTGTGGCAGGTTATTGGACAGTTACAGCGGTCTCATCAGCCTGTGGTGTCAGAGGGCCCCGGGGTTCAGCGGCCGTGCTAATTAAAGAAGGGATATAGATGTGGAGGGACCTTCACTTCCTATTAGAGCCAGGTCCACATTAGCACCAGTTACCCCAGTGAAGGACAGGGCGAAGGCAGAGGAGGGGTCAAGAGAGGAGAGGACACTAGATTACATAAACTAAACAGAGTTTAGAGGGTTTTTTCCCCATCTGTCACAGTGTGAACAGCAGAACTAAAACAACTTTTTTTATTTTTATGGACTCATTAGGATTTAAGAGCGATTTGTCAAGCTGATCATGAGTTATTTAGCTGATTTTTTCTGCTTTCTTGTTACTATTTTCAAATGTCTGAATAAATGATTAACAGCAAAACAGCGTGACATTACAGTCATCCTGTAGTGCAAAAGTACGATTTTAAAATGATAATAAGGAACAAATCGTATCAACACAGTAACAGTGCCTCATTACTGTCATATTTTTAACAAACATCAGTGAATTATTTTTGCCTCTAGCATAACTGAAAAACTGCAATTGAAGTAACTCCATGCCACCCCAAGGGACCTTCCCCCTACTTTGGGAACCACTGTTATAGTTGGTTGTTGATATCCATTACTACTTTTATAACAACAATAATAACTTCATGGCTTGGTCATTTCATCTGGGTAAAGTAATTGAGGAATTTATAATATTTATAATATATTATGCTTGCCTGGCAATGTGAATTTAATAAATTAATTATGCAACGCTGTGCCTATAGACTTAAAGAACAATGTGCCATGATCACAAATCACAGGTCAAAAAAACCAAATTAATACTGCCCTGATTTTTATTTTAATTCTAATATATTTTTTTTCATATTATTGTAAAAAGTACTCGATAGATTCGACAAAAATAATTTATGTCGACTATATATTTGCTTTACTGTACAAAGCACTTGAAAATAGAAAATACCCTAGACGACCAGCAGGTGGTGTAGTTGTTCGGGTATGTCATAGAGACGTTTGCTTTCTGTGAGTTTTAAGGAGTACTGGGAGTTTTTCTTAATGACCATTGACAGTGTTCAGACATTCATATGCAATTTCCATAACAAAAAGAAGAGATTTTTCACTGAATTGTCTGTTTGTCTTTTTCATAGCCAAGAAATTCAAAAAGGTGTTGGGAAAAGAAACCTGTTCAGAGACACTAGAGAGCACGTCTACGCTGGAGAAAGAGAAGTTTCCACAGGACTACTTTCCTGAGGTGGGTCCAGTAGTGAGTATATTTGTCAGTCATGTACTGCTGAGGTCGGTCCAACACCCCCGCTGACAGAGGCCACACAGAAGGGAATAAACACTTTGTTTTTTTGTTTTCTAAATTAAATTTTTGAGAGACATGCCATAAAAAGCACTATTTGATTTTAACTCTTTTATTTTCTCTTTGTCCTTGTCCTCCTATTTATGCTCCATTTCCTCCGGCTTGAAGGAAATCAACCATGCACATGGCTGACTTAAAAACAAATCATTCGAAAATATTCAAGTCTTGAAACGATATGAAGAATTTCCTTGTTGTTCCTGCCGTGTCCCATGGAGCAGTTCAGTGCTCGCTCTGCTGTTCTCACTTTTCCAGTTTTCCGTGTACTGTGCCTTTCTTGGGGGTAGGCTGCATGGGGGGGGAGGGGGGTTCGAAGCTGAGCGCTAAGCATAGCAGTGCTGATATAGTAATAAAGAGCACGACCGCCCGTGTGTCATCCCTGCACTCCCCACTCATCTGTCAACCATGCTCCGACGGCCGCCTTCGCAAATATATGCAAAACAGATGGATACGGCCCCTTCACACACTTCCCCCCAATTTCCGTCTCTTTCACACACTGCGGGACACCCCCCCTGTGCGTGCCCACCGCCCCCCCCTCGAGCCACCCCTAGACATACACAGAAACATATGCGTTTACACTCACACCCGAACAGCCCCACGTCTCTGCTTTCCCATTCATCCATTCCACAGATGATGTAAAACCAATTACACTGATTGAGGCACAAAGCTATTTAAAATGCCTACAGCAAAGCATTGTTCTGCGTTTAACAGGACAAGCAAAGAAAAGCACAAAACAAACCTGGCATGGCCAGCAGAGAGAGGGATGAGGCGAGTGATGGAGGGAGAAAGAAGGTGTGTGTGTGTGTGTGCGTGCGTTGTGAGGGCAGATGAGAAAAGTTTTGCCCGCTTATTTATGTCTCCTTCCCGGCCGGGATATGAATCTGAGATGATGCTCCAGAGAGCAGCACTCCAGATAATGTTAGCCCATTTAAAAAGAGCAGATTTGTGTAGTCTATCAGGGTCGCCGAGTATTTTTTTCCTGCTTCCTCCCTCCTCCTCCCCTCCGTAGTGAGAAATTGGTTGTTATCATAGATCACAGATACTGCTCAAACCTCTTATGAAAGATGAATTAATTTCACTAATGCTTTAATGCAAAGCTCTCATGAGGGAGGCAGACTGGTGATAACCCCTGCCTCGTCCCCGCTTCCTCTGCGGGTGATTTATGCCCTCTTTTAGTAGATGAAACCGCCTAGATTTGCCATCCATCTGCAGCTTTGAGGAATCCTATTACACAGGAATCTCGGAGCAGACGGGACACCGCACTTTGTTTGGGTCTTCATATGTAAACGGCGGTAACGCCGAAGTTAGACAAAACCAAGGTGCACCGTCTTCATGATCGTAAAAATCATTTGTGGCGTGATTAGAAACATATCTTTGGAGCTGGTCCGCTTCTTTTCTCCCAGGAAGGTGAGGGAGCGTCAGCTCAGACGGCTGCTAGGAGACGGATGTGTGTGTTTGCCCACTCGTGTCTTACCTTTACTGTCGCCCATTAATAAAGTGACAGCGGGCGAGGTGCTGATGACATCATGGTGGGAGGGGCTGTGTTTGTGTGTCTGTGTCGGAAACAAACAAAATGTCATTCAGTGTGTTTAAGTGCACTTGAACAGTGGTGATAACACGTTTATGAAGTCTTACATCACAGGTGTTAAATTTAACTACTTGATACTTGGGGCAATAATCGAGGGGCATTTTAATATATTGGATTCATTCATTTTCTTTTTACCGCAAATGTTTACATTTGTTATAAGATGTATGTGAGTAGAAATGGAAGGTTTTTTATGACAAATACAGCAGTGGTTCCCAAACACTTTCTGCTGTGCCGTATCAGTCATATTTGTGACCGCTGTTCACGCGCCCCTTATGTTGACACAGAAATCTTCTGCTTAGATTCGGCCCTAAGCTTAACTGTAAACACTGTATTTCCTACAAATTAAATTTTCCCACTGAATAACGTTAAGAATCATAACGTGCTTCTCCTGGGGCCCTGCCCCACACTTTGCAAACCACTGGTAAATAGTTTTGAATCTCCTGCAGAAGGTCTCGCCACCGTTAGTATTAACGAAGTAACAACTAATTAATGTTCTGTAATGTAATATTCTGTTCTGTGTTGTCCTCAGTTTATTTAATTCAGTGAAACAGATTCTGTGTTGGAGTTATTTTTCTACTTCTCCATTCTATTCTATATTTTATCTAACATCTGCCACCTTGTCTGTGTTTTTTCTTTTTTTTTGTTGCTACTTCCTGATTTTTTTCACCTTACGTACTTTTACTAACACCTGTGTCTTTGTCTCTCTTAGATTTATTCTCATAAGTTCCGTATATTTTTCTATGTTTTTTGCCATATACATTTTTTTAGTTGATCCTGCACCTTCCTTATTTTTGCTCTACTTTTCTTTTCTTATATCAGGGAGTTCCTTACTGCCACCTAATCAGAAAAAAAGGTGTGAAAAATACCTTTTCAATAACACGTGACGATTAGCATTGACTAATGTAAGATTTTATATATTTTTTATTATTTTTTATCTGGAGATCCCTGGATTCCTACCTTCAAAATCTCTGTTGTTCTAAAACGTTCCAGAGCTCACTGCTGTGATCGCCCCCTGCTTCTAAAAGCCGCAAACGTCGATGACATCAGATGAAACACTCGATTAAGTGACTTGGATTGTCTCTCTCTGCACCTTGTTGGTTCCTGATTTAGGCGACACCCTCTCCGTATGCAAAACGTCAGTTGTTTTCGTAATCCCATCCAATCCATGAGTTATGGCCGCAAGTGAAGGGGAGAATAGCGGGGACATTAATTGAAATGCTGAATAAGAAGGAAGTGAACAAAATAGTTGGCGCATTCCTCCTGAAAGGTCGCCGTGATGGATTTGGCGGCTTGTCGTTTCCTGTTGTCCCGTCAATCTCTCCATCTCCCCAGTGGACATTAATATATTTATTTGTTTGGCGCAGCAATACATGCCTCCAAAAACCATTGCATCATAAGGATTTGTCATTGCCTTATATAAATAAAGTATACGGCCCAGACCTTAATGTGCCCTTGCTATTGATTGTTTTACACAAGCCCTAGGAAAAAAATAGGAAGGGAGAAAATAGGCGACAGGCTGTAGATCAACATCCATATGAGTTTCTATTTGTTGTTTGGCACCATGAGCTTGTCCATAAAAGCACTGACTTTTCAGATGCCTTTTAGTGCCCTCTGTAGTAAGCCGTGCTGCTGGGGCTGTGATTAGTTTCACAGTTCTGCCCCTGATGAAAGTTAACTTCTTTTCTATTTTTCTGTCTTGATTTAAATGCCGGTGCGTGATTCACAGATGAGATGCGTAGGCCGGAGGAGAGATGAAGTCATTTAAACCGGCTTTGCTTGTAAAATGCTCTCTGCATTTATCACCAGACAAGACACCCCCCGTGACACAGATGCCGTTCTCAGTGACAGGCGTGATCCATGAGAGTGGGAGCGGCTCATAAATGTGGGGCTAATGTTGAAATGAAAGCCAAACGAAGGCTTTCTTCACTCATTTTCACTCAAGTGGAGAAATACCTTGAGGAAAACTCACCTCCTTGTGACGTACACAACAACAAGTCTTGTTTTTACTGTACGTCTGTGTCAGTCTGTCCATGACAGAGCTAATGTTTTTTCACTTCCCTATTTGACTTGACACATTCTCCCCTGCAGGGTGTGCTCTACCCAAATTGCATTTGGATGTTCTCTAATTGTGGAACTGTCAGAGCACTGCTGGACATCAGCTGGCTCAGACTAAACAGATTTGAGGCTGAACTGGACAACATGTAAAATGGCAATTTTTCCTCTGCTGTGTAGCGATACTGTGGCCAACTTGTGGCTCAAATTTTCCAATAAGGTGAGCATTCCCCCCGAAAGTGCGAGATACAGCCATTCAATCCAGTTTTTTTACTAGCAGGTATCAGCTAGCTGTAAGAAAAGTTCTGAATGACAGTCGCAGTTATTCATAGCAAGATGAACACTAAGTGACCGACCTGTGCTGGTCCTATCCCTCCCCCACTCCTCACTACTTCTTTGAATTTTAACCTCAGTCTGCATTCTTCTGGTGTTTGGCCTGTCGGGCGAGATGTTCTAGCACACAGATGCTGTTCTCTGTGACAAGTGTGATCCATGAGTCTGCACGCAGCTAATGAATTGGGGCTAATGTAATAAAAGACTAATAAGGGCTTTCTTCATCAATTTCACTCTGAAACAAAAACAGGAATAAAAAAAAAAGCTTAATGATGGTTTATGACTTTTTATTTATGGTATATTTTAGTGTCAGCTGTAGGTGTGGTCCTTCAGAGCACACATATGTGCCGTTATGTTCAGTCCAGTTATATAAACCCCCATGTGAGACCCTGTCTGATTTGATAGCCCACCCTATATGATGGAATAAAGATAAATGAGACTGTCTAGCAGGACTCAAATCAATCAGCGTTTGTGTGTATTACTTATTACTCACAGTGCATATCTGTCACGGGGCTTTTGTGTTGCCCCTCTTCATCCCCCCTCCCCATTCTGCACTCTTCTATCACCCCCCCCATCTCTCCCCTACCACCCTAACTGTCACCCAGTCATAACATTATTTATGGAGGTCGAACTTCAAGCTGAAATATAAGAGGTCAAAGAATCAAATGGGATGGACCGGGAAAACTGTGACAGCAGGGTGTTTTAGAGGAAGTCTGGGCAGTGGGACTGTCTGTCTGATTTCCCATTGGTCACATGTGAGAACTTTTATGGAGTAGTTTTTGGACAATCTGATCCGTTTGGTGTCTCCTCTTATTTTCGTACTCCTCCTGCTCTGTGTCTTTCTACGAGTGTGTGTGTGTGTGTGTGTGTGTGTGAGGTGGCGGTCAGCACGTAGATGTATTTCCCCACACCCTTGGATGTGACCCAGTGTGTAACTGCCGTTCATCACTGTCAGGGGCGGAGACGCCATCACTGACCTGTGGAAGGTCAGCCAATGTCATCCGGAGCCTTGTGCCCTTTTACCACCGCCCTTTGACTCCAACCCTCATCCCTGTCCAGTGACTCTTTATAACCGCCACAGCTGATATATGATATCAGTGCAGGCCACTGTCCATTTCATACAGCTACATCTTTTTGTTATTGCACGGTGGCAGCGCAGAAGGAGGAGCATAATAAATGTTGGATCAACTGAACTCTCATACCGTTTAACAGATTTATTTATTTATTTATTCAGTGTATGTAAGGGGCAGAAGGCGGGGGGGTTTAGGGGTGGGGGGGCGGGGGCTGATGATGATGTTGCAGGCAGGAGATTAAATGGAGCTGGACAGCATCTGTGTCATCAAATCTGTCTGCCGATATCAGCTGCGGCAACCAAATCATGATGTCATCATGTCAACCAGGGGAGAGGGACACATTTCTTCTTTACCATTCTGATTGATTGTGTGCCATTATCTCGTGATTCAGCAGAGAAGGATTTCAAAATAAAAGCACTGGGGATTCGGGTTAAAATAATAACCAGGGGGAAAAAAACGTGTGTATTTGTAAACTTTGATTTTGTGTGATTTGTGAGTTTCTCCGTGTGTGTGTGTGAATGGGGGGTTGGGAGGTCGATCAGTCATACTGAGGAAATGGGGCAATCTGAGCCTGGATGTCAAAGAAGTGATGGATTTTAATGCTGTGATTGTAGTTAATGGCTCTTTAAATTAAATCGAGATTAAACGTCTCTGGCTGCAGTCAGGGCTTGTATGTGCATCGGGCTGGTTCGCCCTCCCCTGAACACTGATTCTTCATCTCCCTCCTCATCCTCGGCGTGCAGAGACTTTCCTTACTCGGCTTAACTTCAACGAACGTAATAGGTTTCCCATGGAGAAAACGCATACATGATCACATGGATGCACTCAGTGGAGCTTCTCTCGCTGTGCGTGTTTATCTTCCCTAATAAATTCAGTTAGTTGAAAAAAAAATATTCCAAGTGTAATGTCTAATTCAAGATCTAATTCCATTTGCTCCTTTTAAAGTCACAATATTGGGACAGCGAGTTTTAATTGGGCCCATACATCCTGCCGAGGCAGTATGGATTAATTCAAGTATGCTAATGTAATTCAATTTGATACAGTTAATCTTGTACTAATGCAGATTGAAAGATGTGAGGTGCAATCAAATACCTCTTAGCCTTTTAATTTGCATACACGTTTTTTTTAAATAAAATTAGTCAATTTGTAATTATGTGACCTGGCCTATAATTAGTTTATCCATCAGTGTAGTTAACTCCCCATCAGGACTATCACAGAGAGAGGGAGAGAGGGAGAGAGAGGCTGAGAGTAAAAGACACATTTATCTATTCTGAATGAGAAGGCTCACAACATCAATTTGTCTGTCATTTAATAACCAGCTTCATGGTGAATCATGTGCTGTTTGAGAGTTGGGCTTGTGATCGGAGAGTTAACTGGAGGCTGGTGGGATCTGATCAAGCAGCTGAAAACTGCATGTTCACATGTAGTTAAATACTCTTTATCTTCAGTGTTTTTGGACCTTAAAATGTATCATTTCATTTATATTGTAATATATTATAGTATATTATATTAACATTCTACATGGGAGATTTAAACTTTAAAATGCAACATTGACCAATTTTAATATTAAAAGAATAGAAATATCTATTACTAACTGACTTGGATCTTAGATATTAATCTCTTTTTGATTCTATGTAGTTTAGGTATGTATGTTTTCTGTTAGCATTGTTAGGTATTTGTACAAATAAATAAGAATTTAGTTCACTCTGAAACTGTCAGTTTGAGGGGGCGTCCATGGGGGAGCATCAGCCACAGATCCTGTCTTGCTGCTGAGTTTGGCATGTCGTGGCATATCTGTCACCATGTCTGCATACAGTATAATCCAATTTTATAGACACATCTGATTCCATTTAAAGGAGACATATCCAGAGAAATTGACCTTGTCAGGGTTTTGGTACAAGTTTTATAGCAAAGCTTGTTATTTACATTTCATTTAGAAATCAGCGAACAATACTAGTCAGTGATGGTGTCCTGTGCATGGAAAGATGAGGAGCCTTTTACACAGTAGCGATGGGAGAAGACTCCTTCAAAAAATGCAACAGTGGGATGTGACCATACAATTTGACAAATGTGTGTCATTTTGCTGTTAACACTCATACTTCTGTAAATTATTCATTGTTGTTGATCATATTTGATGACAAGCCAGTACTTACCAATGTCTAAGTTTTTATTGTCATGCTGATCTGAGTCTGTCTCTGTGTTCTACAGTGTAAGTGGTCCAGAAAGGGATTCATCAGAACTCGATGGGCCATAGCTGACTGGTGAGTTTTATTAATAAGTCTCTTCGGTGACACTTCCCTCCTCATCTCAGTTCAACCTTGAATCATTGCAGTGTATGATTGTGATTAGAGATGAAGATCCAACCGTTTGAGTCACATCTGGCTTCACTCACAGCACAGTGTGCAGTGTAGTGGTTAAGGCCAGTTCAGACAGGCAGAGTCAAAGACACTGCTGGATTCTCTCTGGACAGTGTGGCCACAGAAGTGAGCGGGGATTTGATTACACATAATTGTGTTAGTCAAGCAGATTCATATGACAGATGACACAAAAACATTACATGGCAATGGACCTGAATACAAACGCCGGGCCTCCAGTGTGCGGCGCAGGGGGACAGGGGACAAGGGACAGGGAGGCGTGGCTGTGGAGAGTGAGAGATAGTAATCTAATAGAGGGATGACATGAAAACTAAAGAGCTGAAACGGTAAGCATTTAATAGGGGCATGACGTTTGACAAGAGCCTGGGCTGGCGTGTGGTGGCGGCGGCGGCGTTGGTACGGGGGCTGGTGAAGAATAGAGAGATCAGATCAGAGATGGAACAGACAGAGTTAGCCGAGAACATGCATGTATTCATTTGTTCAGGATGTCACTGCTGAGTAAAACCTTTTGAGATAAGACCCTCTCCTCCCCTCTGCTGAACAAGATGCTAACAAAATAGGCCAGATTGATGGGCTCAGCTGCAGCGTTCATCACTGGACACTGAGATATCTTGTTTTTATCTGACAGGCCAAACTATAAAAAAAAAATCAAATTGATGTTTGCAGTGCTACACTGTGCTGTCCTGCTCACTGGCAGATATGGGCATATAAAGTAGACTCTTTGTACATGTATTAAACCCTGTTGATTTGAGAGATCTTATTATTTACTGTATCAGCACAGGTGAATATGATAGAATTGTTTTATGCTTCAAACTTTTTACACAATATTGTATTTCAAATGTGTTTTCTTATTCAACCCCAGTGTATTCGATCTGGTCAACATTCACCTTTTCCACGATGCTTCCAACCTGGTGGCCTGGGAGAAAAGTCCGTCAGTCTACTCTGGAACCAGGCAGAAGGCTTTGGGCTACGTTTTAGACAGGTACACAGAAAACCTCACTGCTAATGTTGTTTACATTTAAATATGGTACAGTACACAGAACAATGTCCAGGGAGACCTAGATGGGAATTTTAAGACTTTTTTAAGGGTTTGATCTGGAATAATTAGTGTGAATGCAATTATTTCTAAGATATATATGCAGCATATTTACAAAAAAAATACATACATATTCTCAATCTTCCAACTTCAGGACCAACATGTTTAAATCAGGCTTAAACCTGATCTTAAGTTAGCACGATTATTCCAGATAAATAAAGGTAAAATTAATACATAAATAAATAAAATTGTTTGTTTATGTATTATTTATCATTCCAAATGAAGGAATTAATAAAATAGAAAAATAAAATAATAAAAATATGCAAAACTAAAACTTAAATAACTCAGATTTAGCTTCATGGAATTGGTTGATGTCTCATAATTTAACACATTCATTTTGACTTCACTTTAATCCCAGATGAGTCTGTGAGTCACTTTTCTATTGGCCACGTTCTGGTCCAAAGAGCCTCAGACCTCCGTCCTACATCATAGAGTTTGATTGATTTGGTTCAGGGAAGTTTTAGTAATGTAAAAGTAATGGGTGGGATTTCTCTACACTGCTTTGACTAAACAGCTTAGAAAGACCAGGGGCTCTGTTCAAAGCTCCACGGTAATGTGATTTATGTGATATCCATTTGCAGCAGAGCAGAATGATAGAGTGCATGGTGCAACCCCTGCTCTTTACCTGGCCATGCTAACACTGAGTAAGAGCCCGGTTCCAGCCTCGGAGCAGGTGACCTGCCATTCAAGCAGCATCAGAATGCACGGACGGCTGTGCACTGTGAATAACTGCATGGATATGGGAGGCATACATTATCTGCAGGCTCTCTGATGTGCATGAATTATGAGGCACTTGCTAAAGTATTGTCTATGAGGTAATATTTTACCTGTGACTTCACTCTTGATTTGATGAAAGAATGGTGCGCCTTTAATGGACAGGGAAGTGGGAGTGTTCTGAGAATATGGCAGCTTTAGCCATTTTTATTAGGCTGTAAGTTACCTGGATTTACTGACGTTTTGATGGTAAAAACACCTTTGTTGTTCCATGCCCTGAAGTCTCGTCGTTGCTTTTTCCCGCTGATTTCATCACGTGTTTGCCATTGATTTATGTCCAAATGTTCCCACCTAGGCAAAGTCTGTGGAGTTTTTCATTTGGTGGCTAAGGAGATTTGAATGGGAATAGTGTTGGCTCAGTGGCAGTTTTCATGCTCCCTCTCTAAATCCCCTTGTGTTGAGACGGTAACCTTGCTGTTACTTCTGGGCCATATCATTTAAAGGTTCTATTTTGACACGGGTGGGGGAGAGAGAGGGTGAGTGGTGTGTGACACTGTGGTGGAGAGGTTGTTATATGCTCCAGCTATCCCAGTATCCTGGGTGTGTTGGGAAGGAGGGGGGAGGCACTGCGCCTTAGTCAGTCACTTTGGGGGAACTGTCGGGTGTAGATCCGGAGCACCGAAGTGAGAAAAAGCTGGTGGTGCAGCGGGAAGAGAGGAGGAGCACAAAGGGTGCTTGGGCTCTGTAAAGGGCAGTGAATAATGGGTCGGTTCTTTCACAGGGGCTGCTAACCTTTTGGCAGCCACCAGCAAACTCCATTCTCTCTCTGCCGATCTGGGAGGACAATATGCCAGGACGGGGCTTTGAATGAATCGCTACCACCAACAGTGTTCCTATTCAGCGGCTGGTTGGGAACCATCTTTTTGGCCATTGTCCTAACTCTGACTCCTACCCCCAGAAAACAGGGCAGGAAAAGGAGACAGGGGGAATATCTTAAGCCAAACTCCCCCTCTCTCCATCTCCTCTCCTCTTCTCTGAGCTGTAATCTCTCACTGCAGAATAGGAGATCAGGGAGGGTATTGCCGTTGAACACGCCACAGGCTGAGATCCTTGAGGCAGCCGGCACCGGAGCTGATCACACAACACTGCTGGGTACAGAGCCACCGCGCTGCCGGCATCAAACTTGTTCTGCGTCTTATCTCGGGCCCAGGCCTAATAATGCAGCCCGCAGCCCATTGAGAACACATCTGATAAGCCTTTTCCTCTGTGGCCCTTTTAACTGCTAAACGGTGTTTATCTCCAAAGTGCTTGAAGGCCTCTGGGGAACAATGCTGAGAAGGAACAGCATTTAGCCAGCCAGACCTCACCATTGAGTTACATCAAAAAAGCACTGCTGCAGTACTGCATTGATGAGTGGCCCCACTTCCACGAGGGCTGAACACAGCCCTGCTTGAAATGCGTTCCCTGCTTGTTTTCCTGTCCTTTGACATATATCGCTGAGAACTGCTTTGACTTTTTTTTTTCCTCTTCTGGTCCCGGCTGGACGGAGCTGAGCCTGGTTGTACAGACGGCACTGTACAGTATTATAATTATAACGAGCTTTAACAGGTTTTCTTGCTCTCAGTGTAATAATAAAAAAAAACGGACATTTTTCAAAACCATCACGTGAAAATATTGCATTTTGACGATTTGTACTAAATTCTGAAGCATTTAGTGATTGTGCTTACATGCTTATTTCTGACTGAAAAGCTCATTTATTAAAGTGATGCTGGAAATTATAGCCTCTCCAGAGCGCGGAAAAACAAGACCGTTAAATGAGACCGTAAAATTGAAGCGTTGGATAAATCCAACTCTTGACGAAAAAAAAAATCCCTTTGTGTTACGGCGTTTGTTTCCTTTTTATAAAACCCCATTCAGAGTGACTGCTCCTGTTCAGGGGAGAACAGTTTTACATTACAACTGTGAAATCCAGGCATAAAGGCGTCCTTTGTGACGCGCCATTATTTTCACACAAATATAGTCCATTGTCACAGTGCTGAAGTTAATTTGATCAACATTGGGGACATTTAACAGTTTTGTTCGCTGAAAAGACCTGTTTCATGCTCATTTTAGGGGCATTGAAAAGCAATGATTGGCAGAAAAATAATGTTGCTGTTAACAATTCAAAGCAATTAGTTTCCCATGGGGAGGCAGTGGACTGCACTGGCCGCCACACAGCGATGTTTTGTCATTTTATAGAGGGTCATCAGTCAACTGTCACTGTGTCTCAAAGACCTCTCCAATCTAAATGTTTCCCTTTAGGCTTTTCCCAGAACAACAGGCTGAAAAGGGAGAGAAAGGACAACTAGTCTCCAGCCAATAGAGCTGTTGAGGGAGGACCTGATAATCACATGGAGTCCCTGCCTAAAGTATTAATAATTTATTAGTCGTTTTGTGAATTGTATTATCACAAAACTGTGTACTGTATGATTTAAAAATATATATTGATGGCAGTTATTTTTCATATAATCATATCTATATTTTTGGGGGATGTTGTTGTTTGTTGTCATAATGACTCCTGTGGCTCCATTAGTAGATACCTCCACCAGCAGTAGAAATATTGTTACTGTACAGTTGGTATGGAAACTAGCTCTTTGTCAGTAAGAGCAGCAGAGTTATGTACTGTATGTTGGGGGACGGCCTGAACTGCCTGAACAAACACATACTTTATTCGACGGAGGGGGAGACTGCCTGAACAAACACATACTTTATTCAGTTTAAACACATAACATTTCACGTTTCACATGAGGATCCGGTTCATGTTGCGTCACACTTTTAATAATATTTTGAGCAGTAGTCTGACGTTTTAAAAGATCTCGGCTTTCCGATTTGGAAATAAACATCTACGTTCAGGTGGTATTTTTCATTTCTGAGAGTGTTCACTCCATTACAGTATATTATATCTTGGACATCCTTCTGCTGCATTTTCACTTTAAAGTACTAATCTGGGCAAACACATTGACATTTATTTTTAAAATGCGCAGAACGTGCCATGACTCAGTTCATTTTTCAGGAGCTGGATATTATAAGAACTAAAAAAAAAACAACTGTCAGTTATTATTTAGTGTTTCACTTCCTGGGCAAATATTTGCCCACTGCAGCATTAGTGTGTCAGTATTACATCATGTATTGTTTTGTATTTATGTTGTCCTCTTTCATAATGTCTCTGCTTCTTCAGAATGTGGAAATGTGATAGCTTACTTCACAATGTCATGATCACTGCATCACCAAACCCAAGTGAAGGTGTAGAAAGCCGTCCACGCAGCGGTTCACTTTTCAGCAGAGATGTCTTCCTCGTCTGACTGTGTGGACAGTGCTGAGGCGATTGTGATGCCGATTTATTTGTTCACCTCTGAGTGACCGCTGTTACATCTTCGCCCGCCTCCCCCCTCCCCACCACCTCGGTCCAGCATCTTTCTCTGGGCTGCTCCTGGTGCGATGGGCGTTGCTGAGAAGCTTGGGTGCTAACGGAGAGTGAGGAGAAGCCTACAGTGTCAAAGGTCTTGTCAGGGGCAGCCCCGGTCCTTTTCAGAGAGACGTCTCCCAGCACATTCTTCACAATGTTAACATTCTCCCATATTCTCAACATTTACTTACAATGGATGGCCACATTGAGCCGCGCCATTGTTTGCAAAGTCGAATCTGACTGGCCAACTTATGGTAAGTCATCTTGTCAATATAATCATGACATGGCCCCCAGTTGCACCCTCATAATCCCATATAGACTGTCTATTAGGGCTCAGTTTAGCTGTCAGTCATGGTGTATAATCTGCCCAGGAGTCAGAGAAGGACTGAAGGACAAAAGGAATTAAAAGAAGGCTGGAATCATCGAGCCAAACCTGGTTATTTGTGATACTTAGATGCTCTCGGTATCTATGTGGCCCTTTTTGCATGTTTGTTCACTCCTGTGAGGGTCTGTCTGTGTGTGTGGGGGGGGCAGCAGGATCGCAGAGAGAATGTGCCTGGGCTGCATTGTGCAGGTAGTTTAAGGAGCCTGGGAGCAGAGCTGTGGACCATGTTATAAATTAGTGTCTGACCCCTGTCTTTGTGTGGCCTATAGGAAGGCCTGACGACGGCCCCAACCCAAACCTCAGTGAGAACGGCCCCTGTGAAGAGCCTCTTTCAGGGGTGTCACTGCGCGATGAATTGGCTCGGAGAAAGCATGTTTATAGACTGTGTGAAGGAGTGCGTCTTTGTGTGAGAATGTCACTGACACTGTAACAGTTTGCTTGAATGAACTATGATGACGAAGCTAATGTGGGCCCCCGCCGAGGGCGAGGGTCAGCCGAGGGGGGGCTCCAAGCGTTGGACCCCCCACCCACAAGGCTCTTTCACTCCCAGGAGCTGAAAGTAATGTTGCAATTCTTCGTTACCGCCACAAAAGGCCCCGAGGAAAAAGTCAACTTTCACACCAGAGGGTCACCATGGGTGCTTTAGGAAATGATTGTGTAAACACATTGTTACCTTTTGACCTGTGGCTCAGCGTTGGACAAAACAGCCAGGATGCGGGTATTAGACATGGCTGTTAGTGGGATACAGCCACGGGGTGTAGAGGAACACCCATACACTTGTCTACCTACGCTTTCCTCCATTTAACCGGACGTTATTTCTGAGACGCAAGAACTGTGTCTCTGCACTTTGGTTGTCATTCCACACTGACGACAGAAGCAGTGGTAATGTCTCTATTAAGGACAAGGAATACACAAGTTCCCACGCCAAGAACCACTGTGTTGACGTGTATTTGCTGCCGTTTTACTGCCTGCTCCATTCAGGGCGACAGGATAAACTCACCACTAACCCTGTTTAAATAGAACTGAGTCTCTTAGCAGCAGAATGTGAAGTCATTAATGACATCACTTCTTGTTTGAGAGTATTAATGAGCTGCTGTGACCACACACACACACACACACTCTCTCTCTCTCTCTCTCACAAACACATTCACATAGTGTTTCGTCAATAGCATTTAAACACATCCTTTTTTCTAAAAAAAAAAAAAAAGTTGCTACATGTACTACAACGGTGCTTCAACAGTACTATACTTCAGTCAGATTAACAGAGTAAGATATTTTTTTCTAATATTATCAAATATTGACTCTTTTTTTATGTTTTTTTTATTCACATAAGGATATATAGTATTAGTAAAAGTAGTAAAAGATAAGGCAAAGAACATAAGGGACATTAAAATTCATAACCAAATGGTTAAAAATTTAAGTTAATATTTTTATTACCAACTACTTGGATTACTCTGAATGGATGATTTATTTTTAATATTACTAATAAGTGAATTAAATATCTCTAAGGAGTGGTTTAAAAATGATGCCAACGTAGGGTGTTGTGCAAAAAGTTGTAGGTGGGTTTAATTCCTCAACCATTTTCCACCTTTTTCTTTTCTTTACTTTTTCTTTCCTATATTTTAAACTAAATGTAGGGAGGTTCTCCCTAAAATGTTCTTACTCTGGCATAACCATCCCTGACCTGGGACTGTCCATAGTCTGTGATCCAGAACTAATTCAATTGTTTCCATAAAATACTGATAAAATACTGATTTACTGATGAAATCTTTATGATAAAATTAAGTTTCATACATTTACCTTAATTTATATATATATATATGATAATTTTATCATAAAAATTACATCAGTAAATACATTTTAGGTTATAATACTGACTTGTGCTGCAACTTGGTTCCCAA